CAGAACAGGAAATTCTTACTTTTAGCATCTTATTAAACTCAGGTAAGGTGTGTGCAGGTGTGTGATGTCACGGCTCTGACAGGTAAGGGTCAGCTACGTACCTCTGGTCCCAGACCACCAGGTGGAACAGGTATTTGCTGACCGACTGCTTGCTGGTGTGCTGCGGCGCACAAAGCTCCGCCCCTCCGTGAGTCAGAGAGCAGGACAGGAAGAAGCATTCGTAACTGCGACCAATGAGAGCAGGACAGGCGAGTTACTGGTGCAGCACATATTCACACCTGTCCCCAATCCCAGAATCCTCAGAGAGCGCTACCATGCCCAAAGAAACCTGGAGGTTATGCACGTAACTCTGATCCTCTGAGGTGCAGCACGAGTCCGGAGGCACTCCTTTAGTTTGCTGTTAGCTCAGCTTTGGTGTGTGTGTTGTTTGGTTGTGAGCACCACTGAGTCGGCACTGTGCGACTCCTAAACCTGCAGCGCTGACACAGGACGCCGCCCCTTCAGCCTGTGGGCGGATACCTTTTGAGCTCCTTACCTGGCAGCCCACGTGATGGGGATGCGGTGGGCGGCGTAGATGTTGAAGGAGAGGACGTTGGTGATGAGGCCAGCCTCTTGGATGGGCGCCGTGCAGCAGTGGCTCTGCGGCGTTGTGTGGAAGTTGGCGTTAAACGTGCTGCAGTACAGCTCCACTAGATCCAAGATGGCCGCCGTCAGCTTCTCCACCACTTTGTCTGTGAGGCGACAAAGAAGCGAGCGAGCCATTAGAGCGTCAGAAGAAGACAAACCGGGATCGTCACCAACTTATTAAACAGAGTCAGGTCAAAGAAGTCACTCTGGTAGTGTCCTGACTGTGGGGGCGGGGCTACAGCCCACAGGTGTAGCTCCGCCCCTACAACCAGCTCCGCCCCGAGGCACACCCAGGAGAGGTCAGGTGTCCGGCTGGATCACCTCAGAGCTGGAGGAGATGCCTGGGAGGGGAGGCCCGCGTGACCCCAACAAAAATTTATAATTAATTAAATGTATTAAAGAAATGAATTAAATGCAACGAAGTGACGTAAACATGTGAACAAATTATTTCTCCACACTTTTAAAGAGAGCAGAAAACCTGTGGTCTGTAGCGCAGGTTTGGGTGAAGCTGGACTCAGACGTTTTGTTTGAAGGGGACATGAAACATAAATTTACACCATGGAGTCTGTCCCGGCCCTTTCTGTCTCACTTTGATAACGTTCACTTCGACTAAGTTGTGTCTTCGTTGTGTGCAACACTGCTCCACATCCCGTGCTCTGTGGATAGCACTTCCTGGTAGCTTCAGGAGGTGTTTTTCCAAACTGTTCCTGACAATCTTCGCCGGTCGATGTGGGTTCCTCTCCAAAGGAAACGGAGAAAACGGGCAGGTGTATCAGTGAGCTTCAACGTAGCGGCTTCCTCGACAGCTAATGAACCTGAGATGGCATTTCGCATCTCCCCCCGTAGAGGTGGTTCCCTGGGATCTCCGCCCTTCCC